TGTTGATGGTGTCGTCGGTAATAAGAAGCGTACAAATTTGGCATCGTGAATTGCCACAAGGGTGATTACCAAATTTAGGGGTGATAGTGGGAAGTTTAGATGAAGTTAGTAGTGAATTAAGGTTAGGAGGTTGTCGGTATGCTATGAGAGGTGGTGATTTGAGTGCTTCTGAATTTGATGAAGTGCAGTCAGAAAGAATGCGAAAATCTTGGGTGATAGTTTTGGCGAGATGTTGGATTCAGGGGTTGTAGTCGAGGACAAGGGGTATGCGAATAGAATTTGACATGGCTTTATATTCAAGGAGTTGCTGACGTGATTTAGACGAGGCCTTAATAATTAATGGTTTGATCAGTTTCATGGGGAAATTGCTGAGTCTTAATTTGTGGATGAGAGTGTTAATATGTTTATCGAATTCGGTATTGGTGGAGCAAATTCGTTTTATTCTGAGGGCCTGACTATATATTATGGATTTTTTTAGTTTTATGGGATGAGCGTTATTGAAGTTGAGATATCTGTGGTTGTCTGTGGGCTTGGTGTAAACTGTTGTTGTGACTTCATTCTCATTTAAACCAACTGATACATCTAAAAATGGGATTTCTGAGTAAGAGTTTTCCGTGGTGAACTAGATGCTGTGATGTGAGTTAATGATGTGGGAGATGAATGAGTTGAGTGTGCCAGGTCCATGTGGCCAAATACAGAAGATGTCATCAATACAGCGGCCCTAAAATAGAGGTTGGAGGGGGTATGTGTAGATGTTTTTGTATTCAAAATAGTCCATGAAAATGTTGGCGTACGAGGAGGCCATTTTTGTACCCATAGCTGTGCCTTTAATTTGGCGATAGTTAGAATTATTAAATTTAAAATGATTGTGGGTTAGAATAAAGTAGATTAGTGAAATAAGATCAGATGTGTAAGGTGTAGGATAAAATTCATTAAGAAAGAATTTGCAAGCATCTAGACCTTCATTATGGGGGATGTTAGTATAAAGGCCAGTGACATCCATGGTGACCAGTAGAGTGTTATCTGGTAAGTGTGTTATCTCTTGGAGTTTGCGAAGAAAGTGAGTGGTGTCTTGTATGTGACTTTTAATGTTCGGGAGTAGTGGGTTGAGGATACTGTCAATAAAACCCGAAATGTGTTCGGTAAGAGAATTAATACCCGAAATGATAGGTCTTCCTGGCGTGGTGATATGGAGGTCTTTGGCAAGTGTGAAAATGTTGGCTGGGCTCAATTTGGCGGTATCAATTGTGTCTTGTAGGTTAGGTGTGGAATTAATTTTGTTAGTTATAAGTTTAGGTAATTTATGTATTTTCGGTATGGTGTAGAAAGTACCCGGTGTAGGATTGTCGAGGACGAGGTTGCTTACCTTAGGCTTGAGATCAGGATGTAATGGGCTAACTAAAGTTTTAAGTTCTTTTTTATATGAATAGTATGGCTCGGAGTTAAGCAGTTCGTAAAAAGATGAATCCTCAAGCTGGGACTCTGCTTCACTGATGTAGTCATCTCTGTTAATGATAGTTATAGCACCTCCTTTGTTTGCTCTCTTGATGACTATGGTTTTATCATTACGTAGCGTATTAATAGCTTTGAGTTCTTGGTGGGACAGGTTTCTGTTGGATGTAGAGTGTAGTAGTTCTTCTTTAATGAATTGGTTACAAATGTGTCTATATATGTGTTCTTTCCTTTAGGGGGAATCCATAGTTCCTTTTTGAGCGATTTTATCTTTGGTTGGTTCTGGTCCGGGTTTGGTACATTTTGGTCAAAAAAATCCGCTAGTTTTATTCGTCTGTTAAATTGATTAAGGTCCGAACAAGTCTTTATGGAATCAATTTTTCGTGATGGTCAGAAAGACAGGTCTTTTTCAAGTAAACTATTCTCTCCTGGTGTTAAAACATGGTCCGATAGGTTGACGGTGTGTGAGCGGGTTTCCTTGTAGCCTTGATATGGATGAATGTATGTCGGGAAACAGCTAAATAGACTCTTGTCTTTGCATTTGAACAGATGATCCAGGAATTTATCTTGTGTGATCAGTTTAATAAGTTTGCTGATTTTTCCTAGTAAACATCTATATAGGCGGGATTTGTACGATTGGAGTATGAAATCGAATGTACTTACAGTATCGCGATCAAGTTGAGTGAGTTGCTTAAGTTTGTCTTCCGATTTCGTAATATTGGCTGTGATGTTTTGTTGTTCTGCATAGGCCGATTGTAGCTTAAAATTCAGTAATTTCAGTGAAGTCCGTTTACACTGAAATTACTGAATTTTAAGCTACAATCGGCCTATGCAGAACAACAAAACATCACAGCCAATATTACGAAATCGGAAGACAAACTTAAGCAACTCACTCAACTTGATCGCGATACTGTAAGTACCATCTAGATGTGTATCCCAAGGGAGTGTAGGAGTGTGGCAATTACGTGGGTTAAAAGAAAAGTAACCCACAGACTGGAATCTGATTGTAAGATATGAGGTTAAATTATTTAGATATGGGATATAACACTTAACAGAGTACAGTAATATATAAGATAAATAGGATATTGGATAAATAGTTATAGGCAATGGAATAAAGAGATAGAATGAAATTATGGCATGTGGAATAAATAACTTTATTCAGAGTATTGGGATATCTGGTACTTTATTATAAACATTTGCATTCTCAGCAGCCTGTATTTAGCTTTCTAAGGCTTAGTGGTGCAGTGGTAAGGCTCTTGAATTATTATTGGGAGGGGGGCGATTTTGACCCTTGTTTATGTCCATGGTGAGGAAAAGTTATCAGATCTGGAGTTATGGGTGCCTGGTTGGTTTCATGCTGCTGTGCTGAATACAGTTGCAACTTTAGAACCCCACAACGACAAAGGGTAATAAATTACTATGCATTTGATATTTCACTAAATATAGAATTGGAAATGAATTAAAAATGATTATTATTAATAATTAATTTGTATATCTTTGTACTGCCAAAAGCTATCATTTTAGAGTAAATTTAATTAAAAATAAAATGTAATACTAGAAACATTTTTAGTTTCTATTAGACTTGATTAAAATAAATTATGAAAATTTTTTTTTTATGGTTGACCTCAATATATGAATGCCCTGTTAGGGTTTGAAAGTTGACAAACTGGGAGTTCAATAACCGTGGAGCATTTTGGATGTATGCCAATTCTCTTGAAGAAAGCATCACTTGGAAGTTATGACATTGAAATACTATGATAAACACACCTCCAGGAGTAGACAAAGTGACGCTGCACAGCTATGTTTTCAATTAAAAACTTCTGTGAATTTGAAGTTTCCAATTAAGGAAAAAGAGTTCTTTTACATAAAAATGTATTTATATCAATTTTTCAGCTTGGTAGTGATATAAATTCTTCCAATATTTTGAAGCGAAACATTTTCATTGCTTTTTATCAGTAACACATGGTATCAGTAATGTAAGGTAAAGTTGGTCCAACCTGTACAGGCCAAAGTTCCCCAATGGTGGTGCCAATGGGGGAGGAACACTAAGGGACTAAAGCTCATCAGGAAAGCCTAGCCACTAACTATATTAGCTCTATGCCTATTAAAAAAAGTAATATTAATTCACCAAAATTTCTCCAATATTCACAGCTTTCTGGGGGCTTCGCACCTTGGATCCCTACGGGAGTCCTAGGCTGCCCTCAGCAAAAATGCCTGCTTCACTCGTTTTTAACCCCCTGCCCCCTATATATTTATGTCATTTTTTTTTTCAATTTTTAACTTTTTATCCAACAATAATTCGTAACTGGATCGAATATTCTCTGATACTTCAGAAAAACAATGTTTCCAAGTGGCCTGATCACACATTAGAGAGATTTTGCACAAGACCAAATACACGTGTATGCATACGTTTAGCTATCCGTAACGGTTCGTAGCCATTCTGTGTTTTTTGCAATCACAGCACAATTGAGGCATAGCCTCGACCTAGAGCCTTAGCTTAGGCCTACTGTACTCTCTCTTCTCTCATCATGCTTCTCAAAGTTTTATTAGTATATGTAAGGTTTTGGAAATTGAAAATTGTTGCCGAAAAAATACTTCCTTTGTTGCCCAGAAGTGTTGGTTATTTTGTGATAGGCCCTATTGTTTATGACCCAAAAGTGCCTGGCTGCAAGTAGGCCTAGGCCTACAAAAAATCCCGACACAACCAAGGTCAAAGCACCGACGTTTTGATACCCCAAAATGAGACGCATTCTATCATAATTCGCTGTCACAAAAAATACACGTACATAATCAAAGATGCATTTATTTTTTACACTTACGTAAAATGTGAAAAAATAAACGAAGATCCTACTAGAAATCCAAAATTTCCCTATGCGTTTTTCACTTAGGTGTAGTGAGCGAGATATGCGATCGTCCACACATTTAGCGGATAGCGTATGACGTCAAAATGATGACGTATTCGTCCCACTAACCGTACGCGTTTGTTTTTTTTGTGTGATTTACTTGCTAACCATAGTTACACTTAGTCTTACTGACAGGCGACATTGAAAATGTACTTCTGTACTAAGTTTTAAAAATGGCCATTGATTTTTAAACAGAGGTGTCCCAGGTATAAGCTCAATCTCTATTTGATCACCAATACTATACTGTTGATGACACCTGAGCTTATTACCTGGGGGAAAGTATATTTCTCGGGATATCACAGTTTGAGTTTTTGATTATTTACCCTAATACAGGTATGCTGCTAGATGTAGCAACACCTGTCGTAAATGCATTCTTTCACAATCATCAGTTGTTTCAAACTTCACCTACAATCTAATCCTTCGATAAATTGTCTTTTTTTTCGCAGAACCTTTGTATCTTGTTTGTCTCAAACAAATATGTAACATGTGTTTTTATCCATCATTCACATAGTGTTTTTAATTGTTGGTTAAGTATCGAGATTGAGTGATCCAATGCTGACTGCATAAACCTTCAATTGGAACATCTGCCATTGACATCCTCTCAATGATAACATAAATCCCAGTACATGTCATTGTTTCTTTATTCAGCGGTTTTTTTTCCCTTTGCCTTTAGGTTGATTATGGATCGTCAAATAGATCTTGTCATCAATCTTCCGAACCACAACACCAAGTTCACTCGTGACAACTACCTAATCCGTCGAACTGCCATCGATACTGGCACACCTCTGATGACCAACTTTGAGGTAAAAACGTTTTTTATTATTATTATAGAAAGATAGCATGATTATAGGAGTAAACAGTAGACTAGATATAAGTGAGAAAGAACATATGCTGTACCTTAAGTATTGAACCTTTTTGTTGGGGGCCATGTGGGGCCAACACTTTTGTAATTCCAAATTATTAATGATTTTTTAGGTTTTGCTTTATATTAACTGGTTGCTTTAATTAATACAAGAAGATTCTATGATGAACTAAGTAACTTGGGTACAATTAAGCTAATGATTGTATTGATATAAACATTAAATTAATCATAAAAAAATAAAATATTTATTCAGTATAAATTAATAATTATATAAATGAAGTATTAATGTGGAAATATGGCAGGAATTAGAATAGGATAGTTAAAAATTACTGAAAATACCTTTAATAAAGTTAATAAATACTTTAAAAAATAAATCTGACCTTGAGTTATATAAGTTGCTTCGCTAATTAAATAAATGAAATCTTGCATAAAAATATTCTTGTCAGTTTGCATTGTGGAAAATATCGATTTTGCAATGCTGTTGGGTATATCGTGAAACAGTTGGCAGGAAATAGCAACACAGGAACACCTGCTATATCATAGTCACATGACCTCAGACATATCGTCTGTGGTTACATGGAGAACTTACAGTCTTTATAAGTTATGACCACTCTTAAGCTTGTATGTATTTTTCTTATTAAAGTCTACAATATCTTCCTTAAGTTCACAATAATCTATAGTATCGGCCATTGTGCCTTTACAATTTTTACCTCCGCCGAAGGAGGTTAAATGTACAATATTCACAGACGTCTGTCTGTTAGCAAGATTCACCTCATGCATAAAAGAAAATCGTGGAATCGCCCCTCATGCACGGCCATGCGTCAATATGCATGGCCGTATTCAGGCTGCCACAGGGCGGAAAATAATGGAATCGTCCATCATACACGTCCTGCTTATTTGCATGCACAATCTCTAAATAATCATGTAACAGTCTCACAATATTTTACTTGGTCTTTCATCTTCAGTATTTAGGCTTATTGCATTATGCACTATACAAATATGTTGTTGTTGTTGTTATTATTGTCATCATTTATCTATTATTTATAAATTGTGTCAGCGCTTCCAATTTCATTTCAAATCCTTCACCTCCAACCATGGTACCCATTTTATAATCCTCATGAGTCTAAAGAGGCACACAGATAAATGTATTTGACAAAGGAACAAGCAATGTGGCCAACAACATGTTGTTGATTGAAACATGACTGTTAGTTGATTGAAAGCCGAATGTCCATACCACTGTGCTACACAGTAATCCACTGTACCGTTCAAATTTTTTCTTATAATTTTGCCACTCCTTTCCTTTCTATCCATATAATGTGCAATATTATTGAATAAATTATTATTATTTCTCTTCATTTGCCAACCCTTTTCCTCTGCAATATCCTTTACAACTTTCATCTACCACTACATCTGCAATGCGTCATCTGATCTTCACATTTCCTCCCTTCTTCCACTTCTCCCATCCTTGACAATCCTGTATCACCTACAACTTCACAATAACGTTTCTTATATCACCTCACCTGCACAGTGGTTTTTGAGATCTACATCTGCTATCATACACATTTTTGTTCAACTTGTAATATTCCATTCTTCTTTATCGCAATACTTTTTATATCTACCTCTCCTTAATAAGCAGTATTTCTTCAATCTGCCAGTACTGTACTTTCATCCATAATTACATTTGTCATCTGTCACAAAATATATTATAAGGTATTTTGTGAAAAAAAGAAAGTAGCACTGGCAGATGTTAGGATGTCATGTTTCTTAGGATATCTGTTATTTCTTTTAGAATACTACATCTGGCATTCGTATTCTCCACAATGTTCTTTAAGTCGGTCATTTGTCACCCTTTTCTTCTGAGTGTTCCTTATATATGTAACTTCTTCTTCCCACACCACCTGTTTCTTTCTTCCACATTTTTGATACAACTGCCATCAGCCACCACTTTCTTGCACAATATTCCTTACCTGTCATTCTTTGTAATCATCAATCAAAAAAAATGTCATTGATAGAATGATAGAACTAATCCTAGATCATGCCTTAATTGGCTCTTAACTTTTTCTTCTGGTGTTTAGTTCTGTTTTTGGGCTTGACCCAATAAATTTAATTTTATATTTAAAGCTACCCTGGCCAACACCCAATTATTCCTTTAAGTGTTTTTGTAGATATAGAATCTGTTGGGATTTTACATGTCGTGAAACATCAAAAACACTGTCTTGCAATCTCTGTTTTATTTAAATGTTCATATAGTTCATTGCAGTGAAAACTATTTTTATCATTGTTGATGTGTTCAAAAAGTCAATCTTTGTGACAACAATTGAGTGAACTGTTGAATTGAAGGGGAGGGGACCAATACCGTAGCCAGCTATTGGGAAAGTTGGGACAGTCCCACACAATTTTTCGTATGGGCCTACAAAAAATGGCCCACATTTTGAAAATGAGCCTAAAGTCAACTTTTAAGAAAATGGGTCCACATTATTTGCATTTACGTGTGAAGTGGGTCCACCCTGATATTGTCCCGCACTGTTTGAAAATCTTGGCTACGGCATTAGAGGGGACTGAATAGAAATAAAATAATTGTGCAGAATTTTTTTTTTTTCTATCTATTTACCAAGTAAAAATTTAGAAAAGTACAAGGGGCGGATCTAAGATTTGAAGGAGGGGGTTTAACAATTTTTCAGCAGAAAACAAAAGCGGGGTCCAGAAAAATTTTGATTCCGAGATGGCTGGATATGAGAATTCCCAACTTTGGAGTGGTCTTAATAATGAGTGGTCTATAATATATATATATATATATATATGCACACTTGTACTCTACTGTTTAAGCAGATATTTGCATCAGTAGCGCATAAAGTCGTGAAGTTGAATTGAATTAAAAAATTTAATTATTGTTGTTGCCAATGATAAAGAATTTCTGTTTTTTGTACAATAACTTTTACTTGAATCTCTGAGATGGTGCCAGTAATCTACATGCTTTCATCACAAAATAGGGATCAGGAAATATTACTCGTCCAATTCTGCTAATTGACTTCCTTCATTACAAACACTGTCCAACTCAAACGTCATCCAAATCCTTTGCCTCTCTCATTTCATTTACTTAATCTGTTTTCATGCAAGCAAGTTATGTAGTACTATTAAGTGGTCACTTATGGCCATCAAAATATTCTTTCTGGTCATATATAAAGTCCAAATATAATGAAAATAAAATCTGTTTCATTATAATTGCTTAAGTACCTTTACAGTTCTGCCTATACATTCATATATCAAATATACACATTTTTCTGAGAAATTTTACTTTTGGCAAGATACTTGCATCCACTTACTTAATATCTTTCCATACAAGCACAAGTTAAGACTAAGTTATGTAGTAGGCCCACAATTGAATGGTCACTTATTAAGATCATCTCATTGGCCATATAGAAATAGTTTTTTATTTTATAAAATTGAAATTTTGAATTGGAAATTTTGGCTTGGCCCCTGGAGACCTCCTACAGAGTAACAACAGTACCAAAATGTAATGGATACATTGTTCTTATCCCACCTTAACTCCCAAGCGAGTGTTATTCAAGGAGCCAGGCAATCACACTCCAATTAAAAGCTGACTCCAGCCAGGTTGATAAGGGTTTATAAAGTCAGAATATGATGCAACTTATATCGGTATCATTATGATTGGTAACATATATTCTATATTTGGATAATATACATTCATATATCATGTATACATTTTTTTCTGAGAAAGTTTGTGCCAGATAAAATTAAATCCACATTACCTTGGTTTTCATAAAAGCAAGTTATGTACTACTGTAGTATTGAGTGGTCACTTAATGACCATTAAGATCTTCTAGCTGGCCATTAGCATACTGTAGTCCAGATGAGATGTAACTAAAATAGTATCATTATAATTTTTAATGTACAATTTACTACTGACTTCCAATTAAAATAATACCAAATATTATTCGAGGTCACCCTCATCTAGTCAAAGATGAATACTTCAACAAAGTAATAAAAACCTAAAACTTTAAAAGGTCATAAAATTTCAAAATAATACATCACACCAGTAAAAATTGTATAAATCATAACAACTACTAATGCAGTACAAAAATGGTAATAAAATAAATTGCTAGTTTCACATCTCCACCCTAATTAAAGTTTGGTACTTCATGAAAATATTAATACTATTTGCTATTTAAAAAAACAAAGCATTCATTTCTCCATGGACAATAAAAATAATGATGATCAAAGCCTAAGAATAGGCAGAAACATAAATGGCAGAAAAACATTACAAAGATTAATTTTACTTTCATATATATATAAAAAAAAATTTTACTATTTACCAGCATGTTTGCCACTAGTATAGGCCAATAGCAAATACTAAATACCTCACCAAAAATAATTTCAAATCCCAGACATGAAATTAACAATTAATTTTATTAGGCCTAATAATTATAGTGGCTCTCTTTTCCAAATTGTTTTGTATTTTTATAGTAACTTGAAATTCTGTACTGTATGTTAATATGGTGGTATTTGCCTTTGGACTTTTTTACTGCATCATGTTCCTAAATTTGCAATAAGGTTGCTGTTATTATGTGAATAAAAAATAAAATTAAATAAAAATAAAATGAAAAAAATGAAACTATGGCAGTAGGAGGCAGCTATGTGGTTTGATTGACTATAAACTACCAACACACAGCTCCCCAGTGAATTTTAATTTTCAAACAAATCAATTTTATTTGATACCATTCAATGACCACAGGTCTGGAGGGAGCATAAATTCCTAGAATGCTTATACAGGAGATATTGCCTTTACAAGTCCAATCATCAACAACCTTCACTCCTCCTTTTAGTTCACCATAGCCCCCCTGCCATGCTCTGGTCATTTCCATTTCCAAAAAAAAGAATGCAAGGTAGTTAGAAATTTTAAGTGGAGGCAAAACTACAGTAGTAGGGGTACTTGTATTTTTCTTGGCCATTTTTGACAATCCCCACACACCCAACACCCGGGCCATATTTTATGCACTTTTGTTTTTAATATGTATCATAAACTGCTGTGAAAGCTCCATAGATTTGAGCAAATCTTAAAAATTGACTTTATTTCCATATGTTTTTAATATATTCTGGTTATTTTTCCAGGTTGTGAAGTTGTTTGCTGAAGCACTTGGCCACATCAAGAACCTTGATGCAACAACTCTGTTCCATTTTAAGAAGTCCCACTCTGAACAATTTGAGCAAAAGCTCTAATTTCCAAGTATTTAAATACAGTAGTAATTTTTTAATCATTTAAAGATGGTAAAAAAAAAAAATTGCAAATTTTATAGCATATTAAAAATGTTGATCATGATTTGATTACTATTCTGTCTTTTAATGAGTTGAACTGGACCATTAAATTACCGTAGTTTCTCGGGTATAAGCCCATCCCTACAGTACATCCGTTTTTAGATACCAAGGTCATGGTGTGACTTGAATGAGTAGCTGTAGACTTCTACGTACATTTTATTTTAGAAATCAACTTAGAAATCAACACAAAAAAAAAATCAATGATTAGCTTTGAATTTAGGATGAAAATGTTGGAAAATGTTTCAGTACTCCTGAAATTGGCCCAATTTTAATGTTCAGTGGGGTTGGTCTTATACTAGAACAACTGCGGTGAATATTTGATATTTTGTATATGTACAGGCAGGTTACAGGATATATTTTTTTCAACAGGTGTGTAAACAACACCATATCTATATTCTTTAAATTTTATCTTACCTTTTCATACACCAATCAAAACACTGGTAATTCATGTTGACGAATCTTTATAAGTAAAAACATGGAAAAGCTGAGAAGTCTGTATTGTATTAATTCATTTCACAATACTAGTTGACAAATTACTCAAATCATAAATCTGTTTAAACAAAATTGTTATTACATTTTTAAGTGTTTCCAGATTTATCCACATGCAGTAGTACTGTATATACAGGTCACCCTCCTTTTCGAGACCCTTGGAGTGATTTTGGGGTTGGTTCTATCTTCAACTAGAGGATTAGATTTGTGTTTGGGGTTGGTTCGATCTTCAACTAGAGGATTAGATTTGTGTTAAAAGATTGAGGATTGTTATTGGTAATTTGAAGATGTGTTCTGGAATTACAGGGGGGGTCTCGAGTTGGATTGCACTGTTTTTGTTATTTTTTGTTTCGATTTGAAAAATAAATCTTTGTGGTACTTATTTTTGTGCTTGTTGTATAACCATCTTATCTTCTGTTTTCAACATGTTTATGTTTTTGAGAGATACACTGTACTCGAGTAGTACACTTAATTTCATTAAGGGATTATGGTTGAGCAAGCAGGCTTATTTATTAAACTACATGCAGTACTTTGATATTGTTAATTTTCTTTGACCTCCTGTTAGAAAACAAGATTGTATGTCTTTGCATCACATTTGTCATCTAAATTTGTTGTCTTTTTTTTATATATTCAATGTGTGTGTCTTGGATCAAATAATTAATCTTCACTCAAACCATGGAGAAAATATAAAACTAAGCTAATTCTTGAAGGTCATTTTTGAGAAGTTGTCATAACATCTTTTTTTTTACTTTTCTTTTAAATAAGATTAAGTGTACGTATGCAGTATATTTGGATTTGGGAGAGAAAAAATTAATATTTTTGCATGAAAAGCTACATTGATGTTGTTCATGTATATTTTTTATTTACATTGTCAAAATTAAATTATTAATTTCAATTGGTAGGCACCTAATTATATGTCAATTTATGATTGTGTACGTGCTGAGAAGTTAGTTTATGTTTTAACTAATTAAATGATGAAAGGTAATGATTTTTTTTTGTGTTTATTACTGTTTTTCATAATTGAAATGGTCATGATTTATGGCTGTCTTAAGATCGTAGTATTATTTATGTTGAGGGGCTTATTTATTCCAAATTAAGATGTGCTGTAAGAAGTGTGATGATAATGATTTAAATATGTACTTTATGATTATATACATTTCCATGGGTAAGATTACTTTCTGAATTAATATGAGGTATGGAATAAATTAGTTGTGCCTTTTGATTGTTAGCACTTTAAATGAATATCTCCAATGTCACTTTCAAACTTATTAGATTATGTAAGGTAATGAATAATTAATGTAATTAATGTCTGCATTATTATTGTAAGCATGTTGAAGGGCTAATATTATTCTTGACTTAAAATGATGTAAGGTGACGACTCAGGTCATTATTTAATTGCCATATAATTTAAATAGCATGTTGAAATGAAGACTGATTTATCAGAGTATTACAGCAGTTGTGTGTTTTTGTGAAAGTAAATCCATAATTACAAAAAGTACAACCTTATAATGACTGTATAAAATACTAGATGAATACACAATGAAGGAGACTGCACTTTGCAGACTAACAATTGGATTTGATTAATGAATAAATTTAAGTAGTTGAGCCAAGAATTGCCAAAAGGGCAACAATCCATTTCATTGGCGGCATATAACCAATACATTGCCCCTCATCCTGCCTAAGTATCGTGCAAGGGTTATTCGAGGAGCAGAGCAAGGTCTACAACAAACAAAGCAGGAACATTCCCTCTCAGCCAAACGCTCTGTTCTACATTGAAAGATTAAATAGAGCATTCAATAACAACAGAAGATATATTAACCTTTATCATTGAGGTACATTTGGATGAACATAAGTGATGGAGTGAAGGACATTGTGGAACGATCGTGATTAAAGGCTGGGGTGGATGCAGGATTTGGCAGTAGGGGGTAATGGGGAAAAGTACATGTAGATTGCCGGAAATGACACTTTTATATAGTCAAATTCATCATCATCACATCACCATTATAATATAGTCAAAATGAAGCACAAATTCTCATGATCTATTATCAGCAATTTTCTGTAACCAGCTATTGTCGGCAACCATAGAGATCTAGGGTAATGTAACCGGGTACGGTACCATAGAAAATAAAATTTAGCACATTGTCTTTGATGTATTTACTTTACCGACTCCAAAACTGTGAGTTAAAATGCATCTCAGCCCCACCACAGTTGGGGCTGAGGTGATAAAATTTGAGGAAATAATACCAATAAATGGCTGGAAATGACACTTTTGGATAGTCAAATTCATTCATAATTTTTTATCAGCTATTTTTGGCAACCATCGAGATCTAATTAGTATGTGTGATGTACGGTAACATAGAAAATAAAAATTTAAAACATTGTTTTTGATGTATTTACTTTACCTACTTCAAAACTGTCCACAAAACGAGTCCACGTGCATCTCAACCCCACCTGTGGTAGGGCCGATGTGGTAAAATTTAGGGAAATTGTACCTCTAAATTGCCGGATATGACACTCTTATATAGTAAAATTCATCATCTTCAATCTAATTAATCGCTGTGATGTACTGGTACCATAGAAAATAAAACTTTATTGTCTTTGATGTATTTACTTTATCCACTTCATGTGCTGAAAATCAATCTTTTCTTTGAACGCTTTTTCTCATACTTCTCAAATTATAGTAAAGGCACGCGCACTCGAGTCGCGTATTATAGGTACTGTAATTCAGATGTTTGTGGGCAGAGATACTGGCATCTTGCTATAAAATAAGTAAAAAAAAAAAAGTACTCTGGCTGTAGAGAGCTCCTTCGTTAAAACCTAGGTAGTACCGTACTTTCCCCCCGCCGACGCCCTGTAGCTCATCTTCTCCGTTTCCGTTCCCCGTTTCCGAAATCTCGCCAAAAATGCTCAATGTATTATACCGGTTGTCAGCACAACTGCAGAACTATTATATGTAATGCCACCATATCAGCACCTCTACATTAAGTCTGCCATCAAAGTCATCGATCACCGCGTCAACATAAAGGTAAATCAATCAAATATAATCAATCGTTAAATGTCACCATCAACGTCACTGTTACGACAACGATAGTGGCTGAAGAAAACATGTAGTAAAGTTAAATGGAGGAAAGCCTTTAAAAGAACAACCTAAACATCGAATGCTCAGCTCATTTAAAAGAATTACTCTAATAAGTTAACTTTGAAATCAGAACGAAAATACAGGTGTCCCCAGTGGCGGTGCTACGGAGGGTGGGGACGGGGAAGGGAAAATCCCCAGAAACTTTACCCACCTCCTGTTTTCCCCTACCCAATCATATCTATCCAGTAATGTCCTTATCACGTTCAATACCAGCAATGTGTTTATTTTCCCTTATCTATATCTTAAATTGTATCTCTGGTCTGCTATGGGAAAACATATTCCCCTAAAATTTTACCTTTCCCCCTAAAATTTTACCTTTCCCCCTCACTTCCCTCTCCTCTCCAGATTTTAGACTCTGGCGCCACCACTGAGTCTCCCTCCAATTAAAGACACCTTTGGCACCAGGGTTTATGTGTACTTTAGCAGTTTTGGTCTCTAATTAGAATAATAGAGGTAAAATACATTACCGGTAGTTAAGTTGGGAACACAGAAAAGTGTTATTTAATTAATTGAAGGTGGTCTTTATTTGAGGAGTATTTAATTACTGGGAGAAATGTATTTAGATTTTGTTGATTTAAATTTAACCTCAATTGGTTGCCGGGATCTGTGTCATTATCTTGGTTACAAATGCATTTTTTAAATAGGCCTAGGGGTTTTTATCGTTTTTTTGTTTTTTTTTCAAGAGAGATTTTAACTTCATTTGAGGTGAGACCTTTACTATGAAACTAATGATTATTCTATTTTAAGCGCAAGGACAAGGATTATGTCAATCGTGAACTGAATCACGTTAGTAAGTGGCAATTCTTCACAAGACAGACACACAAACAAGATACCCTATAATAATAATAATAATAATAATAATAATAATAATAATAATAATAATAATACACTTTTATTTATAAGAACACATTTTATAAGAATACTGAGGCTGAAATTGCTTCAAAAATAAGAACAAAATAAGAACAAATTGAGGCTGAGGTAAAATATCAAATGAGGTTTTTAGTACCAAAAACTAAAAAAAAAAACAAAAAAAACAACAAATTATTGGCAAGTCACGAAAGTTGTTTTAAATATTAATGTGACGTCATCTGAATTTCCATAACGATAACGATACAAAATACTCGGCTAAGCTTCGTGTGCTGAAATTTATAATTACCCCTCAAACCAGCCGTTCTCATGCAGCCCCCGTATATTTCTGCCAACAAGTGTCACTCTTGTTTTACGGTACAGCGTGTAAAATAAGAACATTATTTTTAACCTGCAGAAATTGGCAAAAACATTAGAACACTGAGCCTGGGCAAAATTTTACTAGTCACTTATAAAAAAGAAGTGCATTTGCCTAAATACGGTACATCTCATTTCTAGTCTAAGGGAGTGGAGTTGTTTTGGTCGTGAGAAAAACAAACCATTTGTCACAGGAATTGAACCCAGAACCTGGGATTGAAAGGCAAGCATATTATCCACCAAGTATATAGCTCCACTTTTCCCCAACTACGGTCTCAGTGTGAAATTTCCTTCCCCCACTATCTTATATCATCCTTGCATTGTATGCCCTCATTGTTTTTATTAAGCAGGGGCGGATTTAGGGGGCGGTCCAGCCCCGGCCCTCTTTTGGGAGGTAAGAAAAAAAGAAAAATAAAAGAAAAAAAGAAGGAAAAAGAAAAAAATGATAGCCCACAACGCCTCAAATGTTATTTTCGGGCGTCTAGAACACAAAAATTCCGCGGGGGCATGCCCCCGGACCCCCTAGGACGTTGTTGTCTCGATCGGCTTAAATTTTGGCCCCCTTTTGAACATCTCTGGATCCGCCCCTGTTAACGACTTGCCAGTTTACTGGTATATATTTATGCTTTTGCTTTATTTTCACCACTTGGTTGTTGAATTCCACTTCTTCAAATCTTACGAAGACAACAAGCAGTTCGTCTGAACATCTCAAAGTGCTGTCTTAATAATAATAATATATCGATAGGATACGGCCATGTCACACTTATCTCCGTTATTCTCAGCGTCACCATAAATGTCACTATAGTATTTTATATCATCCTTATACATACACAACCACCCATCAAAAATGAACATAAGTTTCGCTATAATCTTTTAAATCTGACTCGCGCCACCAATATTATGTATAGGTCTTAATTGACTGTCGATAATACGATCTTAGCAACATAGAGTATGTCTTTTCTATATCAACATGTTGTAATCCAAACTAAAGAACATGTTTTTGTATACTTAAAATTCATTCTACAGTCTGTAATCCGTTATGACCATGGAGGCGTGTGTGTTAAGACACATTGACAGACGCTATCCCTTGGCCCTTGAGCTAATCTACAACCTTAAAAGTATGTTTTACACAGGGTCCATCGAAGAGGTGATTACATTTTTGGGTAAGAGATGAAATATCAGTCACAGAAAATTGATAAAATGTTCCCATCGAGCATGAAAGAGAATAATGGTATGGCCCGTAAACGCCCTGCCTGTATTATTCGGTGTACTGTTCAGGCACCGAGTGTAGAGATAGAAAACGATGTTATTTAGCGCCTGCAACCTTAATTGACGAAATAATTCTGTTTTGCTTTTTTTTTAAATTTAGGGTAAACTAGACGACTACACTTATGAACACCACAATTCAAATGGTTATGTTTATCACTAATCAATTCAATTTAGTTCCATTAATTACTCTCTGAGGCCTAAGGCCATGGATGCACTTGGGGTCTAAACATCAAAGCATGCAAACTAAAACTCTTATTTCATCGAATGTTTTTCATGACATCGCTTGAATGATATCATCAACTCTTACATTACATTAATATAATCACTTAGTTTCGAAAACCTAATGGTAAAGTATAATTAAACCTCTCGAGTCCTCAATAGGCAACGATAGCGGTGGGATTCGAACCCACGCCATCGAAATGACTGGTGCCTTAGACCGCTCGGCCACGCTACTAGCAATCGTTCCATAGAGTACGTACCTCCGCCCTGTGTCTGGATACCGTACCGAAGAAACCGCAGACCATGGGCGATCCTATTATTTTCGTTTATGCGCGAGAGTAAATTCAAGGGGAAAATATAAAACGTCTGTAGCCTTGTCCTTTACCCTTTTCCAAAAGTGAATCATCCATGGCCGTCACCAGCTTTTTTCAAGGGGGGGGGGGGGGGGGCTTTTTGGAAAAAAAAAATAACAACAA